TCTCCTGTGTAAGATTCGAAGTATCTAGGCAACGTTTCGATGAAGTCCCATTCATCATCTTCAGGCTTGTGTCTTCGGCTCTGTGCTTCTCAGAGCCGAAGATTCACTCAGATTCACTCTGAGAAGCACAGAGCCGAAGACAGAAGCCTGAAGATGATGAATGAGACTTCATCGAAACGTTGCCTAGATACTTCGAATCTTACACGGGAGAAAACCCGAACAACCAAAGATCCACATACAAATACCGGCGATAACCTTAGAAAACACACACACACACACACATATATATATATCATATGAGAGAGAAGGCCAAACATTGGGGAAATAGAAATCTTGTCTCGTGTGCTGAAGTTCGCTGGAAGATCTGGGAGATTAATCCAAATGAACTTCCAGCCATTCCTAGCACCTATCCTGAGCACCATCCAACGGAGGTGGAGGAGAGAGGCTCATGGGTGGCGCCTTCACAGGGATCATCATCATCATTAAAATCACAATTTCCGACAATGGGAAACTATCACGTTTCCCCGAAAATAAGACCCTGTCTTATTTTACTTTTTTTGCCACAAAAACGGCACCAAATCTTATTTTCGGGTGGCGTCCTCCACTGACTAACCTCACTTGCTACCCCAGGGCTCCTTTTGGCGGTCAGAGGCCTTCAGGAACTACTTCTTCTGCAGCCGGCAAGGCTTTCCTAAAGGCCTCTGCAAGCGATATAACAGAGCTCTGGATCGATCCAGAGCTTTGTTCTCGGCTCCAGAGGCCTTCAGGAAAGCCTGGCCTGCCTTGCCGACTGCAGAAGAAATGGGCCGGCAAGGCAGGTGTCGGGGTGTGCGAGGCCCGGGTACACCTGTCCAAAGGTAAGTAGTAGGGCAGCTCCATCCCACCACCCCATCCCCACCCTGGTTTAATTCTTACCTGTCCACTCTGGAGTGCCCGGGATCTTAATTAGGGCTTATTTTGGGGGGTGGTAGGGCTTATATGGGGCACATGTGTAAAAAAATCAAGCTAGGACTTACTTTCAGGATGGGACAATGATTGGGGAAACAGGGTAGCAAATTGTCCGCAAGATAGCAAAGGACAGGAGACCTCGGACTTCCCTTTGATCCCCAAGCTCTCCTCAAGGTAGCGTCCCGAGATGAATTTGTTTTCCGAACGTATATTTCCACCTTCATTAAATATACTGTTTCCATGTTTAAACAGGTATACTCCCGAAGAGATCGAAAAACTGAAAGAGTAAGTTTTAATTCCGCCGGATTTTGCCAATCGCTCATATATCCCATTCAAGAAACTGGGGTTTCCTCTTAGATGGGCAAGTGAAGACTCCTGAATTGACCCTCAAGGGAAGAAAAGGAACATAGTCCAAATGAACTGTGTGAATGAACTGTCATCACACAAACACACACACACACACACACACACCCAAAGCCTCTGCATTGGCATGGGGAGGCCTCTCAGCTTGCTTTGGGGCAGACAACTTGCTTAGCAAAGCTTCGCTGATTCTGTGCTCTGTGTGGTCATACAGAGCCGAACTGTTTCCGTGCTCCCTTTATAGAAGACACCATTTTGGATCGAGGATCTCGTCGTCTTTGCGGCTCTTCCCATCCGTGCAGATTAGCCCACCCTGCGGCAGCTGATCTCCCCAGCCCCGACGAGCAAAAATTAATCGCTTTTCCTCCCCTTTTAGATTAAGAATCAAGCACGGGAATGACTGGGCGACGATAGGAGCCGCTCTCGGACGGAGCGCTTCATCTGTAAAAGACCGGTGCCGGCTGATGAAGGACACCTGCAACACAGGTACGGCGATTAAAACACCTGCCAAGGAAACTCTAGGCCATGCTGCTGTCCTGGCCTGGCACGCAAGGCACCTACGTCGACTTCAGGAGAGAGACTAGGGTCGACTCCTAAACCGTTTCTATGCCTGTTTGAGAGGGGCCATGAACAGGAGGGGAGCGGGCAGCCACCTGGAAGAGCAGGACAGCCGTTTGGAGCCGAAAGGGCATCCCGTTCTTACCTTGCAAAGATTGTAGCTAAGCTACCAGAGTTTCTGTCCGCAAATTTCTAATTGGAGAAGCATGATTGATGACTCTTGGCCTTGGACGTGTTTCGTTGGAGAATATGAATTATGATGCACTCAGAGGGGTGGTGAAAAGACAGTGAATTATGTGTCTCAGAATCGGCTGCATCCCAATTTTCAGCCTCCAAGTGCCCCATTTCCTGCCTGTCCCGAAAATGGGGCGCACAGAGGCCAAAAACGGGGCGCACAGAGACGGCAATAGGCGATGGCGATCCCTGCAGCCTGAAACAGCTGATGGTCGGGAGGCCGCTCCAACCGACCGTCAGCTGCTTGTGCTAATCAGGCTGTGCTGAAGCTGAAACCGGCTGTTGGCTGCAGAGAGGCCAATGGCTGGGAGTCAGGGGCCCATTTCCCCCCCTGGTTCTCCTCCCCCAAAGCTAGGCGCGTCTTACGCTCCCCCAAATGCGATAAGTCTAAGGCCGTTTGGATCGTTTCCCCTTCAGGGAAGTGGACGGAGAAAGAAGAGAAGAGACTCGCTGAAGTGGTCCACGAACTGACGAGCACCGAGCCCGGGGACATCGTCACGCAGGGCGTCTCCTGGGCCGCAGTGGCCGAGCGGGTGGGGAGCCGGTCGGAGAAGCAGTGCCGCTCCAAGTGGCTCAACTACCTCAACTGGAAGCAGAGCGGAGGCACCGAGTGGACCAAGGAGGACGAAATCAACCTCATCCTCAGGTTTGCACCGCTGGGCTCGGGGAGGGGCGGCCTTGGGGGGCAGCGGGGGAGACCAGCCTCCCCCAAGGGCTTCCTTTGGACGCATGGAGCCCCGCCCAGCCACGTCTCCTCTGCTCGAGGCTCCCAGGAATGTCTTATTTAAGTATTCGGGCCTTCCCAGTACAATGGCGGTTCTCGAATTACGACCTAAAACATTTATGTGGCTAAGTGAGACATTTGCTAAGCCCGTTTGGCCCCATTCTATGACCTTTCCTGCCACAGCGGTTGACCTCAGTTTTTAACCTAGAAACACGGTCATTAAGTGAATCTGGCTTCCTCATTGACTGGCCAGAAGGCCACCAAAGGGGATCACGGGACACGCCGACCGTCATAAATACCAGTTGCCAAGCATCCAAAATTGGATCGTGCGACCCTGAGGATGCAGCAACGGTTGTAAGCGTGAAAAATGGTAGTCGGTCACTTTTTTTCTCAGTGCCACCATAACTTTGAACAAAATGAACTGTTGTAAGTCGAGGACCACCTGTAGGTGGCAGCACACTGCCAACTTTGGCCGACCTTAAAAAGTAGGAAAGGAAAGGAGACCACCAGAAAAATAGGAAAAGAACAAAAAAGAAAAGATAGGGGAGACAGGGAAGCAGTGAACCAATTCCTAGAAGCCGCCAATGAGAAACCCTCCCTGCGTCCCTTCCCAGAAAGCTGCTCGGATGCTTCCGGATTGTTACCTGGGATCAAGGTTGGCTTGAGAGAGACCAATTAATTTAAATGCATTGTGTCATGCCCCTCCCCCCGCCCCCCATATCGGAGCCTGAATCTGCGGGGGAAGAGGAGCTGGAAGTCGAGCCAAGAGAGATTATGTGGGGCAGGATGACCATGGGAGACAGAGCTCAGGCAAAGAGCAAGGACCGCCCCCTCCTGATCCGAGAGCACAGAGAGTGGAGAGAAGGCGGGAACAGCGCAGACTGAGCCGGCTACTCAGGAGGAGAGTGCCCCGCCCCTCTTCACAAGGCACAGCAGGGGGAGGAGGAGGGTTAAGGAGACGCTGTGGGGAGGGGCGTTCGTTGGGAACAAACATTGAGTCCCTGAATGCCGACATTTGAACTTTCCTGGATTCCTTGCATTTTTTCCGGCTTTCTGGACCTTTTGTTTCCCAAGCTCCTTGATTTGCCCTGCCGGATTTATTGTTGCGCAGCTTTGGTGTACACAGCACTGGGTTGGACTATTTGCAGCCAGAGGCTACTTGAGGGGGGTGTGTGTGTGTATGTGTGCGTGTGCGCATGCGTGCATCCCCGAAGGCGAATATTTGTTAAAAGGAACCATTTCTTTCTGCGTGTGATCCTGTCAGAATAGCAGAGCTAGAGGTCGCAGATGAAAACGGCATCAACTGGGATTTGCTGGCTGAAGGCTGGAGCAGCGTCCGCTCCCCCCAGTGGCTTCGGAGCAAATGGTGGACCATCAAGAGGCAAATCGCCAACCACAAAGAGGTGTCGTTTCCCGGTAAAGTGACCTCAGTCGATTCCTGGCCTGCTCTCCGACCGAATAGCCAGAATCTACAGGGGAAGAGTTCAGTTAGCCCCTTATTGCTTGTGCCTGTTTTACAGGAATCTTCCCACCCGACTAGATCAGGCTCAGTGGCATCCAAATGGGGTTAGGCTTTGCCCTCTTGTGCCTACGCAAGAACCCAAGACTATTTCCCCGCTTGACGCTTCCCTCTCATTCGGCCAGTTTGCTCAATACTCCTTTGGTCTTTTTAGTTGCCAGCAGAAAGGGGGGGGGGGGGGGGGGGGAAGCAGTGCATTCCTTAAATGCCTCAGATAATTGCCAGGCAGATGAAGCTGTTGGCGCACAAGATTATTACTGGAGAGCAGGATTGAGGACTCTTGGTTATAGATGTGTCCCATTGGAGAATATACATCCAGGGCATGGGGGGAAGACCAGGGTCAAGGAATGACGGATGTATTTTAGTGTCAGCTGCACCTAACTAACACCAACATGGCCACTCTAATCCATTTTTTTTTTTTTTACTATTGAGAGAGGCGGCTAGAGATTTATGATTCGAATGGGGGTGGATTTGTTGGAGCCCTGACACCGACGTCTGTCCCCCTTTTAAAACTCTCCCATCAAAATCCACACTGAGTTGTGTCCCACTTAGTTGAGGGATCGGAGCCTAACCTTTCCCCCCCAAAAAGGGTCCTTGCAAACTTCACAACCACCCTCTGGAACTTGCATCGAGCCTTCTAAAATTTGGGAAACGTCGATCCCAACCTGGGGAGAAAGATGGCTTTTCCCTCTGGTAACTTGAAGAGAGTTGAATAAAAAAATAATAACTAGCATTTCCCAACCTTGGCAACCAAGGCAGGCTGGGCTTTGAGGATCCACTCGTCTCAAAAAAGTTGTTGAGGTTTGGAAATGCCGAAATAACTTATAACTGAGTGAGTCAGTGCAAGACTAGCCTGAGACCTTATTCGCTCTCATTTCCTATTGTGAATGTGTAAGGTGGGCCTAATTGCCCTTGGTTATTTTTTTACTAGCTCTGTACCCGTGCTTCGCTACGAAACTGTGTGGTTGAGCTTAGTTTTTGGGAAGGAAAATAAGGAAATAAAAATTCTGCCTCTGCCTACCAGCATCTATCGGTATTCATCTGGGTAGCATCCTGTCAGTGTGTGTGAGAGTTGAGGGCTGTTTGGAAACTGAAAAATTATTTGCTGTGTGAACAAGGAGACAGCAAGGAGCCTGGGCATGGCTTAGCTCAACTGTTCTGTACTAAAGCTGCTTGGTGCTGCTGTGAAATTAAAACGGAAACAGAAACTCCTCTGCTTGTCTTTTGCGTTTGGAAGAGATTTCTTTCCAGGTGGGGAAGGGGAGTAGAGCTCCTTAGCATCAGAGCATGTTAATAATAATGATAATATAGGAAATACTCTAAATGCTCTGATGGTCATTAGAAAAATCCTTTCTTAGTGAGCCGCTAGAAGCCCAGAGGAACACATGGGCGAAATTTCAAGTTTGTAGACTTTACGGTTCTGGAGATTTTGTGATGATGCCTGAGTGGTCTTTCGCTTTTATATATAGATATAAAATATAGATTATAGATAGATTACAAATATTCACTTGGTTTCCGTGTCCAGCAATCGTGAGTGTCTTTTTCCTTCCAGTTCTCATAAAAGGTCTGAGGCAACTGCATGAAAGCCAGAAAAACGCTCCGGCACACCAACTTCCAGACGCTAAATCTTTACCGGGGCTGCCAAATTCCCACCCTGGTTCCGGGGTCCAGCATGTCCAGATCCGCGTGGCCCATTTGGAAGAGAGTTCCGTCTGCTCTCCTGCTTCCGTGGCGGCCTTACAGATTCCTCTCCAGATCACCCATGTCTGTAAGTCACCAGAGCTCTCTTTTTTTCCTCAACAGACCCTCGTTGCTGCTTCTTGGATGGGGTGGGGGGTGGGGAAGAGCCTGTTGAGGAAGGGGCAACCGGCAACATTTGCAGGGTGCAAATATTATTGCTGGTTCGTCCGGCATGGCGCGGAGCACAGTGGTGGTCACGTGGATATGAAAAGTTGGATGTGATGACCCAAAGGGGCATGGCACAAAGGCAATATAGTCAAAATAATCAGTAGGAGTCCCTCTATTAGCTCCAACTTTGCCCCCAATGCCCTGGTTACCTTTTGGGGTGGAGAAAAACCTCTCCCAGGAACAGCCTTGGGCTGCAGAGAATCAAGTCCAAAACGTGGTCAATAAAAACTGTAACTAGAAGTCCAATCAAGGCCAAATGAGGTCATTAGTCTGGCAGGGCAGGAGCAAGAATTCCAGAAGTGAAGGCCTGGCAATAACTCAACACGGTTGGGAGGATGCCAGGAACACAGATAAGCAAAGGCAACACAAGATAAACTGCAGCTATAGTGCAAATAACGAAGAAGTCCTCTGTGGACTTAACTCCTAGTTGACTTCTGGACTCCATTGTCATAAATCAAGGACTACCCATACATAAATCTACAGATAAAATTCTTCTGTGTTTCCCCAATTATATAATGCTGGGAATACAGACATTCCCTACTTCCCTTCCCATTCCGGCAGTTCCCCCCCATTTAAATCATGAGTCTCGAGCCAAACTTCCAAAACTCAAAAAGGATTTATTGGGAATTAAACTGTCCATCGGTGCCTGGGTGTATCATAATCCATATCCTCCAATGGGACACCTCCCTAGCCCAGAGTCATCAATCAGGCTCTCCAGTTAGAATTTTGCCCGGCAGAAACTTCGGTCACCTAGAAACTATCTTTGAACAATTATTTATGGAATGCATGTACAGTTTCCAAGCTGCTGCACTGCTCCCCTTCCCTTTCTGTTGGCAACTATAAAAAGACCAGATAAATATTTTATGAGTTGACAGAGGCACTTTCTCTCCAGCCAATGCAGTCCAAACACACGTTCGTTCTTTTAAAAAAATGCTGCATTCAGTCAGCCAGTAACGGGGTCCCTGGTTGCTTTTAGCCAGTGCATTTTTGATACTGTGGCTTCCCAGCGGCCCCGAGCCCTCCCCTGGCTCAACCTGCAGAGCCTTTCTTAGCCACAGTTCCTCCTTGTGTACTTTGAATGCGGCTGCCGCGCGGACGTTTGCGCGGGATGGATGACAAATCAGGTTTGGGCTGAGAACCCGGATAGTCCTACCCAAGTGGGGATTGCAACGGGATCAAAGCACCGTGATTGGAGGGGGTGAAAACTTTCTCGATTGCCAAGACTGAGAGAAGCACGAGACACGGATCGGTGGCGCACACCGGATCCCGGCCAATGCTTATCCCTCCTTTAAAATGCGATTCCAGGGGCCACCATTGCTCATCTTGGTCATAGTCCGTATTGCCAAGAAGATTACACCATCAGGGACACGGAAGTTATTCAGAGTGGCGCTTGACCTTTTACTTTTGTAGTTAGGCAATTGATTTCCTGCAGACCCTGAAGGTTACTGAGCAGAGAACAACATTGTACCGATAACACAGAGAGAGAGAGAGAGAGAGAATTGGAAGAGAAGCTGTACTCAAGATCACTTGGATGTTTCCATTGGCCAAGGCCAGGGGTCAGCAACGACAACACTGGATAAACTCCCGTTTGCTCCCAGCAGCTGCCACACTCAGTTTGCATATCACCTAAACTCTCATTCCCAGGTGTGGCTAATGAAAGGAATCAGGGCCCTGTCCTCCCACACAAGCCACGCAACCCATGTTGCTCCCTTCTCCCTGTGTGCCCTAAGATGAAGGGGGGGGTGGGCCTGGGTCTTCCTTTGAACTCCCTTTCCCTTGTTCTACCTCTCCCCTGCTCTGCCCAAGTGAACGTTGCCCTTCCCCAGTTTCCTCTACAGCCAGCGGAGCCCCACTCCTCCTCCCTGTCAGCCGCTCGGCCTCCCCCTCCGATTCAGAGACTCTGACGGGGGCATGACAGGTGGACTGCAATGTAATTCTTCTTCTGAAGCTAACAAAATCTGGGCCAGGGAGCAACGGGCCAACGGTCCCTACTTAATATGCAGAGTCCTTTCCCTTATTCCTGCTTTGACCACCTGGGTGCAGGCTCTGTTTTGCATCCTCTTGTGATTACTGTGTTCAGAACCTGCTTACTGATTTGAACCTTTGGTCCTGTTTTTTTCTTCTTCTTCGTTGCCTCTTGTGTAGCTTCTGCCGATTCCCCTGCGGCTTCCGTCGACTCCGAAACGATAACACTAAATAGTGGGACGTTGCAGACTTTTGAGATTTTGCCGGTAAGTCTTAGGGAGTGGACTCGATCACACCTGTTTGCAGGGAAAAGGTTTTAGCTGAGATGTTGAAAGCTCTGGAGCAGGGCTCTCCAACCGGGGCCGCTTTATGACTTGGGGGAATTCTGGGAGTTGGTCCACAAGTCTTGAAGTGGCCCAGGTTGGAGAGGGCTGCTCCAGTCCAAAGCCGAACACGTTTCTAGCATCGGCATTTCCCATTCTGATGCTCTCCGAATGCCTTCGCCTCCCCTCGAATCCTCCACTAGCGTGGCCCAGATAGGAGACAGTAGAAATCAGAGGTGGTCTTCAGCTGGTTTTGAGCAGTTCTGGAGAACCGGTAGCAGAACTTTTGAATAGTTCAGAGAACCGGCCAATCCCACCTCTGACTGGCCCTGCCAACCCCGTCTCTTCTCCGCCTCCCATTGAGTCCCAGCTGATCGGCTGGGTCTCCTTTGGTTGCCCTGCCCAGGAGAACGGAGCTGGAAAGCAGGTCAGTGGGGTGGGGAGGGAAGGGGGATTTTGCAGTATATCCTTCCCCTGCCACGCCCACCAAGCCACGCCCACCGAATCAGTAGTAAAACGAATCCCATCACTGGTAGAAATAACCTAGTTTGTCGCACCTTGTTCCAGTTACGTTTTTTATAAACCTGCTTCTCGGTTTCTCTTTGATGTCCCCCTGGGAAGGAGCTCCGTTGAGATGGCCGTGAAATACCTGATCGCTTCTCTTTTCCTTCTCCCTTCCCACCCGTAGTCCTTCCACCTCCAGCCGACTGGCACCCCGGGCACCTACCTGCTCCAGACCAGCTCCAGCCAGGGGCTGCCTCTGACCCTAACCGCCAGCCCCACAGTCACCCTCACGGCTGCTGCAGCCCCAGCCTCTCCAGACCAGATCATAGTCCACGCCTTATCCGTACGTATCAGGACAGTAAGGCCTCCAGGGGGGAGGGGGGGAGGGGGAGGCATGGGGAGGAGACACCTGAGGGTGGGGGAGGCCTTCAGAGCTCTGGCTGGCGAGTTTGGCAAGCTCTTGACTGACCTCATCAGTGCAGAAGGCCCTCAACTGATGGCCACACAGAAGTCCAACCTTTCTGTCGTTGAGACACTTGTCTTACCACAGTTGTTAAGTGAATCACTGCAATTGTTGAGTCTGTTAAGTGAATCTGGCTTGGTGTTGGGAAAGAGGGAGGGCCAAACGAGAAAGGGAGGTCAGAGGAGGGTTAGGGAGGGCCGTCAAAGCAACAAGCATGAATTTGGGGAAACTCCAGGAGAGGAGAGAGCGCTGGGGTTGCAGAGTCAGACATAACTTGGAGACTGAACAACGGCACTAACAGTTCAGCCAGTATCGTGGTTATTGCTGTGCGTGCTTTGCCTTTCCATACGTGTGTGTGTGCGCCGTTCCTGGCAGGTAAGTAGACGCCCATGTGTGACGTGTGTGTGTTGGAGGGGTGTGGATTCTCCAAGATGAAGGGAGCAATCCCAACCCACAAGGAAAGGAAGCTGGTTGGCCTGCCTTCCAATTTCCCCATTCCTCCTCTTCCTTTTGGGCAAAGCTGAGAGATGAGGCGGCTGATGTCCAGTTTCCACTTTCTTCTACGAACGCTCCCCAAAACCTGCCTGGCACCGAGCAGCCGCTATCTGCCCTGCCCAAGAGGATGAATGGAGCCGCGGTGTTTGCTATGCCACCTTTGCCAAATAGCCAACTGCCCTTGTGTGGCCCTTTCCCGCAGCCCGAGCACCTGCTGAACACGACGGAGAACGTCACCGTGCAGTGCCACGCGCCCAGCGTCATCATCCGGACCATGGCATCCGAAGACGTTTCTCCGCCCGCCAGCCAGGCGGAACTGAGCGCCGATTTGGGCCTGCAGACTGTTGGCTTGGCGGGCACACCGACCTCCCTGGAAACGGACTCTTTCCCAGAGGACGTCCGCCCCTCCAAACTCCCAGGGGAAGACAGCGCCGGCGGTTCCTCCAAATTTGGCAGCCAAAGCAGCCCGGAGCTCCTGGAAAGAGCAGGCGTCGGCATGCTGAATTCAGATCTCAAGCGGGAAGATAACTGTCCATCGGATTTGGCTGGCACTTACGTTTCCGAGGTAAGGGGGAAAAAAGCCCAACTCATAAACCTTCGGAGCTGAGTTTTACGTCGCCCTAAGCCACAGTTCTCCAGATCTGGCAGAAATGTGAAATGGATTTAAGTATTAGAAAAGGGAGAAGTTCAAAGCACCCTTGCCTAATTTCTTGACTAGTTGATTCCCACCATGCATTAAAAAAAGACTTCTCTGTGTTCCTAGCAGAACTCTTTATTGTTTTTCATCTTCCTTTTAAAACTCATCCTCTTAACTCCCTTTTTGACAGTGAGGGTGACTGAAGGGAACTGAGCATTTACTGGCCGGATGCCCTTCCTTGACGCCTATCCGGAGTTCACAGCAGAAATTTTTTTTTCTTTGCGTCCGGAGACAGAAACATCTGTCACTGCCTAGGATTGAACTCTCAACCTTGTGAATGGGAGACGGGCATTTTCACCACTAGGCTACCTTTCTTCTTGTGCCATATCCGTCATTGGGCGTTGGCGATGTTGGCCATCCTATTTTGATCAACAGCCGCACGAAAAAGTGCCGTTGAGTTTTGTCCAAACCAGTCGCTTAGATTTTGAAGTCACTAAGTTCTTCTTGTGCCTGGACCTCATTTGCCTTCCATCTTTCCCTGGAGGATAAAGTGAAGTAGGGTGTGTTTTTCTGGACGTTGCATCCCATGTCCGAAATATTCTAACGTTTGCTCTTTAATGGTTTTGATGATTTCCCTTGGCTTTCCCAGGCAGCTTATCCCCTCCTCCTTTCTGATTTTGAGAATTCTTTATAGAATTCTTTTATCTGGCCAAGTGTGAGTGGACCCGCAAGGAATTTGTCTCCGGGGCAGAAGCTCTTGAGCATCCGTGCAAGCAACAAGGTGATAACTCAAATATCATAAACCATAGTTAAAAATCATAAATCCTAAGATACAAACCAGAAGCGATAAATCATAAAGATACCAATAAGAGAAGGCAGTAGGGAGGACGAGCAATGTAGCCCTACTACCTGGATAAGTATCTTCTGGCATAAGGCAGGACCGTGGGAGTTAGGTGTTACAAAGTTATTAATAACCCTCACACTGTTAAGATTTTCGTCCTTTGCACTTCCACGACGCTCAGCTTTTGTTTGGGGGTGATGGGTTTTTTTCCAAAACACTTTTAAAATTCTGAGGAACCGGCTGGGCACCATTGTTGCTCGTTGTCGTTGTGCAGGACCTGGGCTCTCCCACCGCCGAGGAACCAGTGGAACAGTCCTCGCTGGACGGAGCCATTCTCATCGTGCCTTCTCCCCGAGGCTTCATCCAGGCGTCCGATGACATAGACGGAGAACCAGTGCTGCCTCTGACCACCTTAACAGGTAGTTGTCCTGCACCTGAGCTTCCTTTTTAGTTTACATCCCGCCTTTTATCGTTTTTAACCAGTAACTCAAGGTGGTGAACTTCTCGCAACACACACCTTCCTCCTCCTAGTTTGTTCACAGTTTTGCTTTTTTCGGCATTAACTCTGCACTTTGGGGAGGTTCAGAGCTTGCTCTGCTCCCGGCCGAATCCTGCATCGTAGCTAAGACTTGGTTCCTTCTGAGTTTTGGGCGTCCTTCTGAACTCACTGCAGGTAGTTCTTGACTTAGGACTGCAACTGAGTCCAGAATTTCTGTCGCTAAGCGAGAAATTCATGACGTGAGTCTGGCCCCCATTTTACGACTTTTCTCACCCCCGCCGTGAAGCGAACCAGTGCAGTTCGTTAAGTGAGCAACCCGGTTGTTAAACGAATCGGGGGATCAACAGGACCTTGAGACACGGCGATCATCACAGACCCGAGTCAGTTGTCAAGAAGGCAAATAATGTGACCCCGGGGATGCCACAACAGCTGTAAGTGTGAGAAACGGTCCTGAGTCCCTTTTCTCAGGGCTGTTGTAACTTGGAACGGTCGCTAGACGAAATGTCGTAAGTTGAGGGCTGCCTGTACTGAACTTTTGGTGAAGGGGAGTGTTTTCACCTTGCAAGGAACCCCCTGGAGGTTCTGAGCTTCTGGCAAAGGAGTCTCGGGTTTGCTCTTAAGGCCAAAGGAGAGTTGTTGCTATTCTGAGCGGCATTTCCCCGCTACCTCTTTCAGTTGAAGGTTAAAGCAGCCAGCCTTAAAAAGTGGGTGTAGGTTGCATGTGTGTTAGCCAGCACCAGAGTCAACCCGTTGTGTCTTGGTTCTCCCTAGATCCCATCTTACAACACCACGGAGAGAATTCTCACATTACCAGCTCCTCTTTGGATAGCCCCAGTTCGGAAGACTCGAAGGGCATGGAGAACTTGGTCAGCTGTCACTGAGGCTCTTCCCGGTCCATTAACTCCTGCGTTGGTCAAAGGAGGGTCCACCTGGCAGGGCTGACCCAGAGGTCCCTTCTGATCTCGAACGAGGGACCGTCCCGGCTGGCTCCCCTCCGAAGTTTCTGCGTTCAAGGTGGCTCGTGATGGATGGACAGGGAGGAGGAACTCTCAACGCTCCAGGCTACTAGCCCAGCAGGAAACAAGCGTCCGGAATTGAGATTACACCGTTTAGGGTTTGCACCGGTCCCCCTGCTTTGGTGTGAGACTATAGTTACAGCCGTTGTAACTACCGAGGGAGCAAGAAGATATGTGAAGGGAGAAAAGGTGTCTTTTTCTAGGGGTTGCAGGTTGTTTGAGCAGCGGGAAAGCCGGATCAAGATCCTCCTTCAAACTGAAGAATCTGTTGCTGGCAACGGATGTCGCGCCCGAAGGATCAGGCGTAATCCTTAAAATGCTACAGCTAACACCCCCACCCACCCCGATAAACTTAGGAGTCCGTTTTAAACCCCTGAGGAGACCTTCCTTGTGTCGATTCAAAAATCGACTGCGGGAGCCAAACTCTGCAAAGGAAGCCAACTTGGATGACCCTTTTTGGAGACGTGTCATCGGGAACGAGCTTTGGCGATGGGTGCCGCCGTGCGTTCCTCCTACAGGGAAGGTTCCCCACCCCCCCGAAACACAAAGCTGAAATTTGGTGCAACTTGACCAAGGCAACCTGATTCTCCCCACTACAAAAGGCTGTGGTTAAAAACAAAAATGACCCAAATCAGTATTGACTTGTTCCCGATCATCTTCCTCTCAAGTTGTTAAGTCTGCGTTCGGCCCGCAGTCTGTTTGCATACCACAAATTGGTCGTTCACACGGCCAGTCAGTCACCTTGGGAAGGAGCGGAAACGAAACCAGCTCAATGCAAGCGAGAAAAACTCTTCTGTCATAGTAGATGCCTTTTTATTTATAATGTAGTATAGACATTTGCAGTGCTGAGGGCGGGGTTCTTTTTTTGTACAGTGTAGTAATAATTAAAAAAAAGGCCGTGTTTTTTCCCCCCCACACAACGGGGGGAGAAAAAAGGGTGTGCCACTCTTAAAAAACACAAGCGTCGTACAACTGGAATGTTCATTAAGTGCAGTAGTAGCGATTGTGTGGCTCACCACCACCCCCTCCCTCCCCACAATCCCCTAAAGCAATGTTCTTGTTGTACTGCACTACTTCACCTCACTGGTGAAGGAAGAACCGGCAAAATACACCTCCGTGAACCTTCCTCCAGGTCTTCCTTCCCGGCTCTGTGCCCTGGGCGTTGTGAGGAGGCCCTCCTGGTCCTCTCTCCAGCTAGCAGGGCGGAAAAACGCGACCTCAGGAGCGCCTGGACGCCGTCCCCACCTTCACCCTAGGAAAGTTCATTTCCCCACTTCATGGAAGTAGAGGTTGGCACATATACAAAGCATGATGATCGAGAACAAAACGTAGTAGATGAGGTTCCTAAATTTGGGCTCGAGGTCTCCTTGTCGATACCAATAGATCTGGAGGGGGGAAGAGAGGGAGGGGGGAGACACAAAATATTAAGGGGAGGCAGACGCCGTCATCGTCTCAGAACTCTGGACTGCCTCTGGCAGGTTTCTGGGGTTGAGGTGGAGAAGACTGCAGGGGACCTGAGCTACTTGGTAATGGGAACTGAACCCAGTGGAGCAGTGGTGGTATGCTCCCGGTTCGTACTGGTTCAACTGAACCGGTAGTAAAACACAAAAATCCCCCGACGATCAGCCGAGAAGAGGGAAAAAAGCTGAGGAGTAAGAAGAGAAAAGTGTAGGATTGGCCTTCCCCTGGGCTTCTCTTTATCCTCTCAGCTGATTGGCGCTACAGGCCTCAGCTGGTGTGGGGAAAGCTGTGCGCGCAGTCGAAGTGTGCGATCCCCAAACCAGTCGTGAAACAGGTAGGAGGATCCCACTGCTGCAGTGGAGGCTTTGCTTCTAAGGCAAGGGTCTCCAACCTTGGCCACCTGAAGACCCGTGGACTTCAACTCCTGTGGAATTCTGGGAGTTGAAGTCCACAGGTCTTCAAGTGGTCAAGTTTGGAGACCCTTGTTCTAAGGCATTGGCGCAGGGCTGTGATATCGAAGACTAGCCAAAGGGTAGGCCGCTTTTTCATAACCACAATCCTTGCGGGCATCTGCTCTGACGGGTGTCATTTCCTTGGGCGAGGACGTATCTCAGAGGTGCCACCCTGTGGGATGGTGGCTGTGCTGATCCAGCAGGCCACATTCCTCAAAATTCTGGCCAAGAAGAAATCAAGATCTAATTAAAGTCCAGTTGCAAATAACCTTGCGTTTCGTTATTTCCACCTTGCGGGTATCTTGAAGCTTAGAGGAGGGTGTCATCAAGGAAGTTCGGGGCTCTTTATCGTTTTGTTTCTATAAGTGGAAATGCTACAACTCGACACAGCCACCATTTTACAAGTGGTAGTCTGAAACCTGGCTTAGGGCCCATGCTTGCTACTGCAGCTAGTGCAAATACCGAAGACGTCCTCTGTGGACCTGACTCCTAGTTGACTTTGGGCCTTGCAGTATTTTTACAGCTCTCCATGGTAGCCATACGCTATTGTCCTCGCCTCCTCTGAGCAAGGTCTACTTCAACTTCATCACAAAAATAAAGACAACAACACTTACAAGAATGCCAGCCGAAACACAACTCAAGGAGATGCAGAAAGCAAAAAATATATTCACTGGTTTTGGAGGTAGGTGAGGAAAGACGAAAGCACTGATTAAAGTGACCTGCAGAGAGAGAAAGAGAGAGAGAGAAAACAAAAAAGGAAGGAAGAAAAAAGGGAGAAAAAGAAAGAAAAAAGGGAGAAAGTAAGTTCATTTTATCCTCACAGAAAACAAACCTTTTGTCAGATGTGATTATCTTTGAGGGTTTCCATCTAAGATAAACCTCTAATATTAATCCAAATACAGCAGAGCTGCTCTTTCCCATCACCGCTTGACACAACGCCCTGAGATTTCACGCCTCGGCCTCACGTGGGGAATCGGGGCAACGCAAGTTCGGTGCTTGGCCAGCTAACTGAAACTCTGGTGAGGGTGAACGAAAAGATGCAACCACTGTTGAAACCACTGTCTCTACTCCAGGGGTCTTCAGCTTTGAGACTTGTGGACTTCCAACTCCCAGAATTCCTCCTCCAGTCAGGTTAGCTCAGGAATTCTGGGAGTTGGAAGTCTACACATCTTAAACTTGCCAAGTTTGAAGACTCTTGGAGGGGGTGGAGAGAGAGATGAGATAGATTGATAGATGATAGATTAGATAGATAGATTGATGGATGGATGATACATTAGCTCATGGGTCTTCAAACTTGACAGCTTTGAGACTTATGGACTTCAGTTCCCAGAATTCCTTCTCCAGCCATGTTAACTCAGGAATTCTGGGAGTTGAAGTCCACAAGTCTCAAAGCTGTCAAGTTTGAAGGCCCTTGCTCCAAAGTGTCTGTTTCTCAGCACCCCTTTTTCCACCGCTGGCAACGGCAGGATGGCCCCTTGGTGGCCCAATTCCTTGCACGTTTCCCACCTTCCACGTAGCTCTTCCTACGACCACAATGGGGACACAAAATTTCTGTTGCTAAGAAGTAGGTGATGGGAAGGTCTGCCAATTTTCAGACTCTTTTTGCCGTGGTGGTGAAGCAAGTCACTGCAGCTGTTAAGTGAGGGGTGTGGTCGTTAAGTGAACCAGGCTTCCCTCCCCCCCCGGGGGGGGGGATGGTTGCAAGGGGTAACCCTGTGAGCCCTGGGACGGGCAACCATCCAAACACACCTGCGGGTTCATCGTTTCTTAAGCGAGTCATTCTGATGGGACGGGGACATTATCCAGGTTACGGTCCTTGACTTACAACAGCTCACTTAGTGACTGTTTAAAGCTATGATGGCACTGAAAAAAAAAGTGACCTACGACCCTTTCTCACCCTTGTGACCCTTGCAGCCTCCCTGTGGCCAAGAGATCAAAATTCAGCCATTTGGCAAAACGACTCACATTTATGACAGTCGCAATTTTCCTGTGATTTTGCAGCCTTCGGATGAGCAAAGTCAACAGGGAGGCCGGATTCACTTAACAACGATGGCAAGAAAGGTCGTTAAAAGCTCACTTATGAAAGCCTCATTTAGCAACAGAAATTTTGGGCTGAATTGTGGCCGTAAGTTGAGGGGGCAACCAGCCAGCAGCAGATTCTTATTTTTTTCACCATGGGAAAATTAGCTTTTCTCTGGCAGCTCCGTCTACGGCAGCCACATCTGGAAACAGGTGAGAGGAAGGCAGAGGCTGCCAATCCTGGGTGCATTTAGCTGCCTTTCAAGCAGGTGTTAAGGGGGGGGAGGGGGGGGCTTTTTTTCCCCTTTAAACCGGCCCTGGCCAGCTCCTCCCCCTATTAAAGTGCTCTGAGCTGTGTATTTAGCTGCAATGCACACCTCAAACCTTTATAAATGGCTGCTAACGAAATGGAAGCATCCGTGTGTGCGGGAAACAAATGGAAGGTTTTGAAAATAAACCAATGCCAAAATGTACATTATAAATGCATTATAAAAGGTATTGGGATGGATGGAATGAATATTTTGCTATTCCCTGGGGGGGGGGGGGGGTTGAAATAAAAATAATTAATGCCCCCCCTTACTAGCTGCCAGGAGGCAAACCCGATCTGAACCGTTTGGGTACCGATTCAAACCTAGCTTCTCTTCCCGAATTAGGTTTGCAGGGCCAAGCGGGATACTTACTAGAAGCAACAAGGAAGCTACGATGCCAACGGCAAAATTGATTATTCTGTCCTGAAAGACAAGACAAGACAAAGACAAGAAAAAGAATAAGCAAACCAGGCGTGCTCTGCAGAAGACAGGATGTTGAACCGACGGCAAAAAGGGCAGAGCGCTGGTGCCGGCTGGGTGACGGGGCAAAAGGAATCCCAGGCGGCATCTCAGCCCGAAGGGAAATTTTTCCGAGATTTCAAGCGAAGGAGCCCGAGAGGCTAGGAAACCGCTGGGAGGGCAACTGGGAAGAGGCCTTTCACACTGAAGGGACGAACGTCGTAAATAAGGACGTGTCTCTCTCTTCGCAATCAATGCAGCTGTCAACTCCTAAGGTGTTCCTATGGTTGTCTTAGAGTGGCCAGCAGAAAGGGGTTCGAAAGAGCAGTGTGGCGGCTTGCAAACCAAAAGTGCATTCCATCAGTAGTTTTTCAAAGATAGTAACTAGGTGAAAACTAAGTTTCTGCCGCGCCAATCTCTTCATTGGAGAGCCTGATGGATGACTCTGGGCTAGGGATGTGTCTCATTGGAGAATATGATTTATGACACCCCCAGGGCTAAGGGCGACAAGGAATGATGTGCCTGAGAGTCAGCTACACCCAGGCAGTGCCGGACATGTTAACTTCCCATAAATCCTTTTGAAGTTTTGGAAGTTTGGCTTGAGACTCAGGATTTAAACGGGGGTCCCTACCGGGGTCCCAACAGCAGCAGCGACGTCACTAATAATGCTTCGGGGGGCTTAAGGCCCACCAGTTGGCCTCCCTTTCCAAATGACACAAAGGAAAGATTGTTTGGGGTCTTCAGCCCCCTTTGCAATTCCCCAGTTGGCTTCTCTCGGGTTCATCACAACCACTACTTCAGCTTTCCTCCCTCTTTACTCCTTGGTTCCCTCCTGCTGAGAACACCCCCCCCCCCCGCTCCTTTCCGCAGAGGGGGCTTTCCTACCGCTGGGCAGAATCCGTGGAGGACTTGTTTTAATCCTTTGCAAAGGTTACTACCAGGAGAAAAAGAAGGGAAGGGAAGGGGCCAGTTTAGAGAAAGCAGAGTTACAACTGTTGAGTATTGTAGGGGCCAAGTGAGGAGGCTGGTCTGGGATGGAGAGGAATCTTATTTTACATCGAGAGGCGCCCGGGCCGTTAAGGGAGAAACCGGTTGAAGGAGTGGGTGCTCCCATGGTCCACTTTGGGAATGGGTGTGTCCTCACATGCCACTGCATCTACGGTAGTCCTCAACTTAGGGATGGCACAGAAGACAATGACTTGTGACCGTTTTTCACAGCACCGTTGCAGCATTTCCCCGGGTCACGCGATCCACATGAAAGGCAACCGATTCGTACTTACGAGGGCGGGAGGGTCCCCCGGGGTCTCATGTGAGCCCCCTTCTGAGAAGCAAAGTCGACGGGAGAAGCCCGGTTCACTTAACGACTGTGTGACCGCAGGGATTCTCTTTAACAATGGCGGCAGGTAAGGTCATGAAATGGGGCAAAACTCCACTTACCAACTGTCTTGCTTAACAACAGAAATGTTGGGCTCCGTTGTGGTCATACACTGAGAACTAGCCGTATTGGGGAAGTCCAACCAGATGCCTCTTCCCTTCCTTCCTTCTTTCCATGAAACGAATCATAATCCGATTCAACCCGATTCCTGGGCAGCTTTTTCCTGGGAATCCGGTTGAATCGGATTATGACTCGTTTAATGGAAAGAAGGACATGAGAGCAGAGGTTCCATATTTGAGGGGCTTCTACAAAGAGGGGGGGGGGGGGGTGTCAACTTATCCTCCCAAGGCCCTGAAAGCAGGAGAAGGAGCAATTGGGTGGAAACCCATCAAGGAGCGAAGCAACCTGGAACTAAGCAGAAACCTCCTAACAATGAGAACAATTAACCAGTGGAACTACTTGCCACCAGAAGTTGTAGGTTCTCCATCCCTGGAGGCTTTTAAGAAGAGACTGGACGGCCATTTGTCTGGAATGGTGTAGGGTTTCCTGCCAGAGCAGGCGCGGGCTGGACTAGAAGACCTCCAAGGTCCCTTCCAATTCTTTTAGAGTTCTGAATTAACCAAATCTGTATAGGTAAGTCCTCAAATTACAACCATTTCTTTAGCAACTGTTCAAACTTATAACAGAGCTGCAGAAAAAAAAAAAAAAACGAGACGACCAATTCTGACTCTTACAATTATTGTATCTACTCCCTGCGGGCCAAATTACTCCCAACTCGTCCTAAGGGAGACCGGTTGTGAGCCCCTATTTTCTTCCTTCCCCGTTTGATCCAGCCAGCCCTTTGCCCTGGGGTGGTGCCCCTTCCAAAGGGTGGGATCCTCAAGGCATCTTTTTATCTCGAGTCTAGATTAGGAAAGCCACTGAAATCAGGATCAAGAAAGGAAAACAAAAGTGACATTTTCCAGGACAGACTTCAAAAGACGAGGCTTCGGATTCTTAACAACTTAGGAAAGTGCCTAGAACTTCCTTTCTTCTCGTCTTGCCTTTCGTTCTGATTTCTACTCCTGTCCTGAAAGTTTGTTTTTTTTTCCCATCAGTTGGGATTCCCTAGAATTTATTCCCATCATCCAACCATTTCAAAACCATCCTTATCTGTTATCGCTTATAAATCCATTAATCCAGAAAACTGAGTCACTCCAACCAATTCCTCCGAACGTCACACTGAACAAAAGATTGCTCAATTCTATACTTTTTTTTTTTTTTAAAAAGAAAAAGACATTTTGAAAGTCAGAGATTATCCCACCCTATAATGACACCCTCCATCCCACATATGTGAGGTGGTATCGACACAACAGATGTTTTTCTCAGCATGAAGTTTACCCACCTCAAAACGAAATAGCCGAGGAAAGAAAAGACAAATGAAATCTGTTGCAATTTAAAAAGCACTGAGGGGAAAAAAAAATCAACTAAAAACGTCAGGGTACCAAAACTGCAAATCCTGGTTTCTTCAGAGCTCTTATCAATAGAGCCTGTGCATAAACATCTCTGCACGTTGCCATCCTCTTTGGTTGGGATCTGACTAGCCGCCTCTTAACGTTTTTGGGGGAAATTGCTACTGAAGGAGAATGTTTGTAGCTCGGGGTTGAAGTGTTGGGTCCTTGTTGCTCTCTGAGCTTGGTGGTTTTCTTGCAGACGTCTTATGACCCAACTAGGGAACCTCATCAGTGCTAGAAGGGAGTTGTGTTTTGGAGGAGGAAGGAAGGAGGAGGAGGAGGAGGAACTGTGGGGTCCTTGTTGCTCTCTGAGCTTGGTGGTTTTCTTGCAGACGTTCTCATGACCCAACTAGGGACCCAACCTCATCAGTGCTGGTGTGGAAATGGCAATGGACACCAAGATACATCTTTTGGATCAGACATGAACTGACCCTCTCGGCTCCATGTTGTTAAGATTTATTCAAAGAAATAACGTTTAGATCAGGTCTCCAACCATGGCCCACTTTAAGACTTGTGGACTTCAACTCCCAGAATTCCCCAGCCAGCAAAGCAAAGCTGACTGAGGAATTCTGGGAGTTGAAGCCCACAAGTCTTAAAGTGGGCCAAGGTTGGAGACCTCTGCTTTAGATATTATCTGCCTAGGTTCAGACCTGGAGTCTGTCTACTTCTCACTGGGAATGGTTCACACTCATACACACACACACACATACACACACACACCCCTGAATGCCTCCAGTGCCCACTTGTGGGGAGTGGCAGTCTGAAAAAGTCTTGCTCCTAACACACGGAAGACATCAGTCTCCTGAAACACACCAAGCTGGTTGGATTTTGAGCGCTGTTTGCTCCAACTTCTTTGGAGAACATCAACCCGCAGGAGAGGAGTTGTATGCAGAACTTGCCTTCTAAGATCCATTTATGAGAAGGTCCATCCCAGCGAAGGATAAACGCTTCCTCTAACAAACTCCAAACCATAAACTATATTTATTGCTAACGTCAGACTGTGTGAGAGGGAATCACAACGAAGCTGTTGCGACGAGAACATAAACCCACATCTCCATCAACAAACATGGAAGACTTCAGTCTTCTAAAACATACCAAGCTGGTTAGGGGCTTTCAGAACCGTGTGGTCCAATTTCTTTGGAGGACATCAAGAGGAGGAAGGATGAGACATCAACTAAGGATAAAAATTTCCTCTAACAAACTCCAAAATATAAGCTACTAGTGCGATACCCATGCTTTGCTACAAAACTACGTGGCTGGGCTTAGTTTCTGGGGAGGAAAATAAGGGGGAAAAATTATGTCTCTGCCTACCAGCATCCATCAGTATTCATCTGGCTAGGGTCCTATCAGTGTGTGAGAGAGTGGAGGGCTGTTTGGAAACTGAAAGAGTATTTGCTAGGTTAGCAAGAAGACAGCAAGGAGCCTGGGCTTGGCTTAGCTCAACTGTTCTGTACTAAAGCTGCTTGGTGCTGCTGTGAAACTGAAATTAAAACTCCTCGGCCTGTGTTTTGCATTTGGAAGAGATTTCTTTTTTTTAGCTGGGGAGGGGGGATAGAACTCCTTAGCATCAGAGCGTGTTAATCATAATATAGGAAATACTCCAAATACTCTGGTGGTCTTTTCAAAGAATCCTTCCTTAGGGAGCCCCTAGAAGCCAGGAGGAGCCTACGTGCCAGATTTCAAGTTTGTAAGCTTTGCGGTTCTGGAGATTTTGTGATGATGCGTGAGGGGTATGTTTTGCTTTTGTGTGTGTGTGTGTGTGTGTGTGTGTGTGTGTGTGTGTATTTATTGCACAGCCCATGACTGACCAGGGCAAATTGTAAGAAAACTCCATGTAAACTAAAGTCTAGCGTGTCATACTTGAATTTAAGCCAGAGGTTTAATCTCCCTCTCCTGGCAATAATAATAATAATGATAATAATAATGATAATAATAATAATAATAATAATAATAATAATAATAATAATAATAAT